CCATCAAAGGACCGAAAGCCATCCACCCCACCTCTTGGGAATGTGGACATTGTGTTTTCTAGACTGCTTCCTCTTGTCTATGGTGCTGGCATCTTTAGGAGACCCTGGGAAAATTGGGATAACTACTATGCTTACTGCAAACCCTTCCTCCCTAGACCCTTATCCTGAGCATTGTTTCTCAGTCAAAAGAACACATTCCTAGAAAGAGGTCACAAGTGCTTTGCAAAAGACATACTCTACCAAGGAGTTTTGATGTAGTCATGCCCTAAGTTTTATTGTAATAATTGTCATGAGGAAACTTATTCCCAAATAAAGTTGTACTGTGTTTAAATATGAAAAAAATAAACAGACTCTAGAAGTTTGAACCAGATTGGCTAGCTAAGTTGTGCTGAACCAAGTTTCCTTCTTGCTCTCATGGTTCATTTCTCTGCCAGCAGTAGAGCTTGCAGGGACCCCACCCCACCCCCCACGTCCTTATAATAATGCATACAAAAGTTCTGGGAATTAGGATCTGGATAGCTTTGGGAAGCTATTTTTCAGCCTATAGCATATGGTATGTATAAGTCATTGGCGTATTCAAAATGAGTTTTGGTATTTATCTAGCATTGTGTTTCTTCCCTATTGAGTTAGGTTGCCTATTGTGATGGTTTGAAAGAAAATGGCCACCATAGGCCTATAGGCAGTGGCACTCTTAGGAGGTGTGGCCTTGTTGGAGTAGGTGTGGCCTTATTGGAAGAAGTGTGTTACCATGGGGGCAGGCTTTGAGATATCACATGCTCAAACCATGACCATGTGGCACAGTCTCCTGCTGCTGCCTGCAGATCAAGATGTAGACTTCTCAGTTACCTCTCCAGCACCATGTCTGCCTGCATGCTGCCATGTTTCCTGCCATGATGATAATGGACTAAACCTTTGAACTGTAAGCCAGCCCCAGTTAAATGTTTTCCTTTATAAGAGTTGCTGTGGTCATGATGTCTCTGCACAGAAACAGAAACCTTAATACACTCATTATATAAAACATAATTATATAACTCAATATATAACTTTATATAACAATATATAAACATTGTTTAACTTTTGGAACTGTTGTAAGTTATCTAATGTGTACAACACACCATCCTGGATTCAGAGGATGAAAATAATTATTTTATTAATGAATCTAAAACTTGACCATGACACCATGGGAACTGCTCATCTCCACAACATGGACCATTAGCTGGTACTGCCTGGAAGCTAAGAGTCAGTCAGTTGTTGGGAGTGGGAATCACCTGAAGTTAGAAGTTGGTGCAGTCTGTCATTTGGGAGATCTGAAGTTCTCAGCTGAGGCACTCAGCTGTGGGTATTTCTTATGGTCCCCAAATTTATTTGCAGAGCGATGGCTGGATTCCAAGAACAAGTCCCCCAAAGCCAGTGAGAAGATGTACAACATTTATCACCTAGGTGTGAGATGGAAAGACAGTATTCTTCTCATGGTCAGGAGGTTGACCAAAGCCTGGGGGACACTGCTGGGAGACTGAAAGAGTTAGAGAGCTGCCATATTGACCAGAAAGGAATACATAAGAATGTGGAACAGCCACTCAGCCAGACCCTGAGAGACTACCTTTTCAAGTCATTTTGCCAGTATACATTAGCAGGAAACCCATGAAAACGAACATCTGTATTTTCAGGATGGTGGAAATAGATCTGGTCCCTCTAGTTTGGTTTTCGCGCCACCTCCCCCGCACCGCGCCCCCTCCCCCATGAATATGATACATCAGGTTTTCTAAACAGAAGAAAAATTTTTAAGAAGCAGTGTGTTGGTGCTGTCAGCTGGGAGCTCCAGCTGATAAAAGGTAAGATACTTTTTTTTTTTTTTTATCATGTGTAGTGTTAGCTATTCTGAAGATGGGGCTTGCAGAGATGGCTCAGTGTTTAAGAGCACTGACTGCTCTTCCAGAGGACCCAGGTTCCAGTCCCACACCCACAAAGTTGCTCATAATCAGTCCCAGGGGATCTGACACTATCTTCTGGCCTCCATGGATACTGCTTGTATGTCGTACACAGATATACATGCAGGCAAAAACCCATACAATAAAAATTAATTAAATTACAAAAAAATACAATTCTGAAGATGAACTTATATTGTTCAGGTCACACTTCTGACTGAGTCTAACTTCCAAGCTCATCACCATTGATAAGTCAAATTATTTGCCCCATATGGGCAATTGAAATCAAGACACTGACCTCATTTTTTTGTTGTTGTTGTTGTTTAAGAATTAACTTGTAAAGTTTGTAAACATCTTCTATACTTCTAACCACAAGTCAATGAAAGTGCAGAAATTGGGCAAAAAGCAATATAATCACTAGGCTTTAAGGAGTTTATAGATATTCCATCACAATTAGATGGGTGGTCACATTTCTTTTAAGGTAAAGAAAACATATACTGTATATCTCTTTAAAAGTATATTTAGGAGTTGGGCATAGTGGTATATGCCTTTAATCCCATCACTTGAATTAAAATGATCTCTGTGAGTTCAGGGCCAACCTGGTCTACATAGTGAGTTAGTTCCAGGACAGCCAGAGCTACATAGTGAGACCCTGTTTCAAAAAAACAAACAAACAAACAAACAAACAAACAAACCATATTTAGGGAAGGAAGAGATGGCTCAGCAGTTAAGAGCATTTCATTTACTGCTCTTCCAGAGGACCCACGTTTGATTCCCAGTACCCTCATCAGATGGTTTACAACGGCCTGTAATTCCAGTCCAATGCCTCTGGCCTTCAGGCACCTATTCTCACACGCACATACTCACAGCTACACACAATTAAAAATAAATATTAAGGGCTGGAGAGATGGCTCAGAGGTTAAGAGCACTGGCTGCTCTCCCAAAGGTCCTGAGTTCAATTCCCAGCAACCACATGGTGGCTCACAACCATCTGTAATGAGATCTGGTGCCCTCTTCTGGCCTGTAGGCAGACATGCAGGAAGAACAGTGTATACATAAATAAATAAATCTTTAAAAATAAATAAATAAATAGTAAAATTATATTTACTTACTCCATGTGTGTATGTATGCATATATGTATGTGTGTGGGCATGCAGGTGTCATGTCATCCGTGTGGACATCAGGACAACTCGCAGAAGTTTGTTCTCTCCTTCTATCATGTGAGCTCCAGGAATGAAACATAGGTTTTCAGGATAGGTGGTATGTGTCTACCTGCTGAGATGTCTTACCAGCCCCTTGCATATCTTTTAAAATATAAACTTTAGCCTTATGATAATTCGTTCTGTGTGTATCTTTATTCCTCATAGATATATACTCTTTCTCAGTGGAAAAACTGCATCTTACTCTCTTTTTCATGCCTGCCATGATGATGAAGAAATGTCTTTCAAATAAATAAATAAGCCTTTTTAATAACCAGGTGAAGATTAAACTTAGGAAATGGTACTTAAGCGTTCATGTAAAGAAATATTTATTTTATAGGTGTGGTGCAGCTTAACTCCTCTGTGTTTAGAACATATAACCATATGATGTTTATTCACTCATTAGTACTTACAAATTTAACTTTGGACTGTGGAAATAGCTTAGCAGTTAAGTTGCTTGCCCAACGTGCACAAGAGTCTGGGGTCAATCCTTAGCACGACTCAAATGTAAATGAATGTGAATTTAACTTACAATAACTTGAGATTTTACTTATTTTCATTCCATGTGTATGGGTGTTTTGACTGTATGTGTGTCAGTGCACTAGATGTCTGCAGTGCCCAAAGAAGCCAGGATTTGCAGGTAGATTCTCTCGGAACTGGAGCTGCTGTGTGGGTGCTGGGAACCAAACTGAGTCTTCTGCAAGGGCAGCAAGTGCTCTTAACTGCTGAGACATCTCTCCGGCCCCGGATGAGTTTTTGGCATTTAATTCTCTTCTCAGTCCTTCATGTAGTCTATATATTAACACACTGTATGAAGTATACCTTGAACTCAGAGAAATCCTTCTGCCTCTGCCTCCTGAGTGCTGGGATTAAAGACATGAGCCACTACATTGTTATCCTCCTCCAACGTTGTTCTTTCTGATTATTATTGCATTAGTTATTCAGAGTCCTTTGTGTTTTCATATGAATAATAGTTAATAGCGAATAAACTTTCAGAGGAAAATAGTTTTAAAACGTGGACACCAAACCAGAAAGGAATCAGTAATTTTGAATGTTTACATCAGGCGAAGAGATTTGTCACAAGACCAATGTGAAAACACAATAATTATCTACTCATCTGATTTGTTACCCCGAGTCTTATTATATGCAGCAATGATTTTTAGGGACATATATACAAGCATAATATGTTAATCCTCACATTACAGTTTGTAGCATTTAGGCATAATTGTGAAACTTAAGAATAGAGTTGATGTTGTAGCCCACTAGGTCTCCTAGTGATTGTACCCAGCAGGACTACATAAGAGGTTGATTGGACCAAGGGCCTGGGGCCAGATGTTTGTAAAGGTCTACACTTGACTGTAACTAGCAAGGGGGAGGTCTTTTGCTCCACCCCTTGGCATTGTTATAAATAGACTTTGGAATAAAGTTCTGGGCTGGTGGATAAAGATCCAGGCCCACTTAAGTCTAAAAAAAAAAAAAAAGAAGAATAGAGTTGAATTTGTTTTAAATTAACAAGAAGAATTTAGATAATAACTGGAGACAAGAAATGTATTCATGTAAATAAAGGTTACCAGTTTTCAAATACTGGACATTATTTTGAATATAGGCAAAATGCTTTTTGTCATTTCTTTGTACAAATTTTCTGTCCAACTATTTCTAATATAAAACATTTATTATATTTGGCAAGAATGATTAACTCAAGATTTATCCTCTCAACAGATTTGTAGGTGTACACTATGACTATAGGGAGAATTTTGCTGAAATCTCTTGAACCTACTTGCACAACTGAAACCTTATGCCTGTTGTATTGATTGCTTTTCATCTGCTGTGATAAAATACCATGACTAAGAGGATTTATTTTGGTTGATGGTTCCAGAGAGATAAGAGTCCATCCTGGTAGGGAGGCGTGGCAGCAAGCAGCAGGAAGCTGAGAGATGATATTTTCAACTGAAACAGGAAACAGAGAAAGTGAACTGGAAGTCAGGTGAGGCTATGAACTCTCAAAACTTTTGCCTCAAAAGTTATTCCTCCATGAAGGCCTTACCACCTCCCCAACTTCCACCACCAACTGGGGTCAGATGTTCAAATACATAAGCCTATCGGGGACATTTCTCATGTAAACCACCATACATGTTAATTAGCAATTCCTCAACTTTTCCACAATGTCTTGGCATCTGTGCTTTTAACTTTCATGAGTTTGACTGTTTTGAATCTTATATAAACAGAACCATGAAGCACTTGTGTAGCTTGAGTTTTCCTGACTCGCCCACAGTCAGGACAAATCTCTGTCACCCGCCAGTCCCACAGCCACTCAGACCCAACCAAATAAACACAGAGACTTATATTGGTTACAAACTGTATGGTCGTGGCAGGCTTCTTGCTAACTGTTCTTACAGCTTAAATTAATCCATTTCTATAAATCTATACCTTGCCACGTGGCTTGTGGCTTACCGGTACTTTACATCTCCTTTGTCCTGACGGCGGCTGGCAGTGTCTCCCTCACCGAGCTTCCTGTTCTCTCAATTCTCCTCTCTGTTAGTCCCGTCTATACTTCCTGCTTGGCCACTGGCCAATCAGTGATTTATTTATTAACCAATCAGCAACACATTTGACATACAGACCATCCCACAGCACACTTGTCATTCTGTGACTGGTTCATTTTGTATAGTATATTACCCTCAAAATTCATATTGTTGCACAGTCAAGGGTTTTTCCTTTTATTTATTTATTTTATCATCATCATCATCATCATCATTATTATTTGGTTTTTCGAGACAGGGTTTCTCTGCATAGCTTTGGAGCCTTTCCTGGAACTCAATCTATAACCCAGGCTGGCCTGGAATTCACAGAGATCTGCCTGCCTCTGCCTCCCGAGGGCTGGGATTAAAGGCGTGCGCCGGCGCGTGGGGTTTTTCCTTTTAAAGAATAAGTAATACTTCCTTATATGTGTTTACCGTATTTTTTTCATTTTGATGGACATTTGAGCTGTTTCCTCATCTTAGCTGCTGTTAATAGCAGTCAAGGAGCCTGGGTACCAATGTCTCTTCCTGAACATGGTTCCGATTATTATTATTTCTTTGTTTTTTTTTTTTTTTTGGTTTTTCGAGACAGGGTTTCTCTGTGTAGCTTTGCGCCTCTCCTGGAACTCACTTGGTAGCCCAGGCTGGCCTCGAACTCACAGAGATCTGCCTGGCTCTGCCTCCCAAGTGCTGGGATTAAAGGCGTGCGCCACCACCGCCCGGCTTATTTCTTTGTTTTGAGATAGGTTTCTCTGTGTAACAGCACTAGCTGTCCTGGAGCTCTGTTTGTAGACCAGGCTGACCTCAAACTCACAGAGATCTGCCTGCCTCTGCCTCCTAAGTGCTGGGATTAAAGGTATATGCTACCACGCCTAGCTGATTCCAACTATTTCTAATAAATACTAATAATACTATGTCATATGGTAATGTAGGGAACAAGCAAAAGCACCTCGTCCTAAGTGCTGCCATTTTAACTTCAGATTCCATTTTACCTGTAGGGTGAAACAAAGTTCAGGTTCCCAAGCGCTAGGGAACCAGTAGCTGACCCACTTCCTCCTTAAACCATAGAAATAGTCGTTAAAGCATTTTTAGTTTTCTAGAAACATTATGGCTGTTCCTAACAACAGAAGGAACAAATGAATCTGATTGGTTGGACTGAAAAGCTTGTATTGTATGTCTGTTGACAATGATGGAACACTTAAGGAAAGGCCCTAAGTTTTGAATTCTGATTGGTGAAAATCATAACTGTGACTTGGCAACAAATGTTTGTGACTTTCGTGCTTACATACTTGTTTCAACTGACATTTGGGATCACAGCTCAGCTCCTGAGTCTATCCAACCCCTTCCCTTCCCCCTTTCTTTTGTGCTGCCCTGTATTAATCTTGCTTGTGATCACCTCTTGTGTCTGCTTGGGTTGATTTGGAGCCTCGGACCACAACAGTAGTTTTATTTTTAGTTTCTTAAGTAAAATTTATACTATTTTTGTTTTGTTTTGCTTTGTTTTTTTTTTTTTTTTTTTTTTTTTTTTTTTTTTTTTTTTTTGCTTTTTTGAGACAGGGTTTCTCTGGGTAACAGCTCTGGCTGTCCTAGAACTCACTTTGTAGATCACTTTGGTCTCAAACTCACAGAGATCCATCTGCCTCTGCCTCCCAAGTGCTGGGATTAAAGGTATGCACCACCATCATCCTGGTATTTACTGTATTCAATAGTGGCTGCATCATTTTGCTTTCCCAACACTGTGTTAAGTGTTTGTACCTCTTTTCATCTTTGACAAGAGTATTGTCTATAGTTTTTTAAATATAAATGTATTTATTTATTTTATATACTTGATATTTTGTCTCCATGTGTGTATATATGTGTGCCATGTGTGCTGTGCCTGAGGCAGTCGGAAGAGAGTGTTGGATACTCTGGAACTGGAGTTAGCAGAAGGTTGTGAAACACCATGTGGGTGCTGGGAACTGAACCAGGGTCCTCTGGAAGAGCAGCCAATATTTTTTAACTGCCAAGCCATCTCTCCAGCCCTATCTTTTGTTTTGTTTTGTTTGTTTATTTATTTATTATTATACTTTTAGTATCTTTTTTTTTTTTTTTTTTTTTTTTTGGTTTTTCGAGACAGGGTTTCTCTGTGTAGCTTTGCGCCTCTCCTGGAACTCACTTGGTAGCCCAGGCTGGCCTCGAACTCACAGAGATCTGCCTGGCTCTGCCTCCCAAGTGCTGGGATTAAAGGCGTGCGCCACCACCGCCCGGCTTATTTCTTTGTTTTGAGATAGGTTTCTCTGTGTAACAGCACTAGCTGTCCTGGAGCTCTGTTTGTAGACCAGGCTGACCTCAAACTCACAGAGATCTGCCTGCCTCTGCCTCCTAAGTGCTGGGATTAAAGGTATATGCTACCACGCCTAGCTGATTCCAACTATTTCTAATAAATACTAATAATACTATGTCATATGGTAATGTAGGGAACAAGCAAAAGCACCTCGTCCTAAGTGCTGCCATTTTAACTTCAGATTCCATTTTACCTGTAGGGTGAAACAAAGTTCAGGTTCCCAAGCGCTAGGGAACCAGTAGCTGACCCACTTCCTCCTTAAACCATAGAAATAGTCGTTAAAGCATTTTTAGTTTTCTAGAAACATTATGGCTGTTCCTAACAACAGAAGGAACAAATGAATCTGATTGGTTGGACTGAAAAGCTTGTATTGTATGTCTGTTGACAATGATGGAACACTTAAGGAAAGGCCCTAAGTTTTGAATTCTGATTGGTGAAAATCATAACTGTGACTTGGCAACAAATGTTTGTGACTTTCGTGCTTACATACTTGTTTCAACTGACATTTGGGATCACAGCTCAGCTCCTGAGTCTATCCAACCCCTTCCCTTCCCCCTTTCTTTTGTGCTGCCCTGTATTAATCTTGCTTGTGATCACCTCTTGTGTCTGCTTGGGTTGATTTGGAGCCTCGGACCACAACAGTAGTTTTATTTTTAGTTTCTTAAGTAAAATTTATACTATTTTTGTTTTGTTTTGCTTTGTTTTTTTTTTTTTTTTTTTTTTTTTTTTTTTTTGCTTTTTTGAGACAGGGTTTCTCTGGGTAACAGCTCTGGCTGTCCTAGAACTCACTTTGTAGATCACTTTGGTCTCAAACTCACAGAGATCCATCTGCCTCTGCCTCCCAAGTGCTGGGATTAAAGGTATGCACCACCATCATCCTGGTATTTACTGTATTCAATAGTGGCTGCATCATTTTGCTTTCCCAACACTGTGTTAAGTGTTTGTACCTCTTTTCATCTTTGACAAGAGTATTGTCTATAGTTTTTTAAATATAAATGTATTTATTTATTTTATATACTTGATATTTTGTCTCCATGTGTGTATATATGTGTGCCATGTGTGCTGTGCCTGAGGCAGTCGGAAGAGAGTGTTGGATACTCTGGAACTGGAGTTAGCAGAAGGTTGTGAAACACCATGTGGGTGCTGGGAACTGAACCAGGGTCCTCTGGAAGAGCAGCCAATATTTTTTAACTGCCAAGCCATCTCTCCAGCCCTATCTTTTGTTTTGTTTTGTTTGTTTATTTAGCCCAGGCTGGCCTCGAACTCACAGAGATCCGCCTGGCTCTGCCTCCCGAGTGCTGGGATTAAAGGCGTGCGCCACCACCGCCCGGCTATCTTTTGTTTTTGATAGTAGCTATCTTAATATGGTTGAGGATCTGAATTGTGGTTTTGATTTACAAAATCCTTGGTGATTTATGACACTGAGCATCTCCTTATATACCTGTTGGATATTTGTATATCTTCTGAGAGAAATGTTTATTCATGTTCTTAGGTAATTTTTAGATCAAATTGCTAGTTTTAAGATGTTCAGTATTGAGTTATGTGAGTTCCATACATGTTTTGGAGATAAACCCTGTTCCTGATGTATAATTTTCAAATATAATCTCTTATTTTGTCCTTTTTTCTGCTCTGTTGTTTCCTTTGTTATGCACAAGCTTTTTAGCTCGATGCTGCCTGACTTACCTATTTTCACTTTGTGGCTAATGTATTTGGTGTCATCCTTGAATCCATTGCCCAGACCAAGGTCAGTAATATTTCCTTTTATGTTTCTTGTAGGCATTTTATAATTTGGATCTTATGTTTAAGTCTTAAATCTATTTTAAAGATTTTTTTTTATTATTTTACTTATGTGCGTGTGTGTATGGATGTGTGTGTACATGTATGTGTGGGGTACCCAAAGATACCAGAAGAAAACATTGGATCCCCTTTAGCTGGAGCTAAAGGCTGTTGTAAGCCACTGAACTGGGTGCTGGGAACTGAACTGTGGTCCTCTTGAAGAACAGCAAGTATTCTTAACCTTTGAGGCATCTTTCTAGCCCTTCGTCTTTAATCCATTTTGAGTTAAACCCCCTCACCAAGCGTGTGTACAGGCATATGTGCATGTGTATGCATGGAGAGGTCAGGAGTCAATTGTCATTCCTCAGGAGTCTTCCATCTTAATTTTTGAGATAAAGTCTCTTATTGGGATCTGAGACTAACCAACTAACTAGGCTGGTATGCCAGAGAGGCCTAGGGATCCTCCTGTCTTTGTTGTCCAAGTGCTGGGATCACAAAGGCACACCACTTTGCCAGGTTTTTTACATTGGTCCTGATCCTAAAGCATTTACTAGCTGAGACGTCTCCCCAGCTCCAAGTTGCTCTTTTAAAAATTAGTATTCACGGGCAGTGGTGGCACATGCCTTTAATCTCAGCACTCGGGAGGCAGAGCCAGGCGGATCTCTGTGAGTTCGAGGCCAGCCTGGTCTACAAAGTGAGTTCCAGGAAAGGTGCAAAACTACACAGAGAAACCCTGTCTCGAAAAACCAAAAAAAAAAAAAAATTAGTATTCACTGTAGATAGTATTAGGTGTCATAAAGATATTTTCATATAAGTATATTATATACTTCGACCATGATCCTCTCTTATCCTCCCTGCCCTCCTCTTCTTGAGTTAATTTTCTTTTTTATTCTTTCCTGGGGAGTGTTGAGACAGAGTCTGACCCAGGTTGGTTTTGATCTCTCTGTGTAATAGAGGATGAGCTTGTTCTCCTGATTCTCAAAGCTCCACCTCTCAAGAACTAGGATTATAGGCATTAACCATACAGTTTTATGTAGTGCTGGGAATCAAGCTTCATGCATGCCAGGTGGAGATTCTTCCAACAAGTTACACTCCCAAACCTTGAGTTGATTTCTGTGTATAGTGTAAAATAAAACACAAAATCTGCCACATATCTTTGAAGAACTGTCAGATAGAAGTAACCTCTAGAGAGGAGAAACAAAGGGACCAGTAGAAGGATGTGAGTTGTAGATAGACTTTAGCCTGAGATGAAGTTTAACGACTTGAGCTATTTTGTAAGGAATAGTCCATCTTACAAGGTAGTGATCTCTCCTACCAGGAGCCAGAGCAGATCCTGATGAACATCCAGAAGGAAAAATCCTTTTTTTTTTTTTTTTTTTGGTTTTTTCGAGACAGGGTTTCTCTGTGTAGCTTTGCGCCTTTCCTGGAACTCACTTGGTAGACCAGGCTGGCCTCGAACTCACAGAGATCCACCTGCCTCTGCCTCCCGAGTGCTGGGATTAAAGGCGTGCGCCACCACCGCCTGGCGGAAAAATCCTTTTTGACTCATTTTGTGTGTATGAGTGTTTTGCCTGCATGAATGTATGTGTACCATATGTGTCCAGTGCCTGAAGAGGTCAGAAGAGGGCATAATATTTCCTAGAACTGGAGTTAGGGATGGTTATGAGCAACCGTGTGAGTGCTGGGAACTGAACCCAGGTCCTCTCAAGAGAAACAGATGTTCTTATCCACTGAGCCATCTCTTCAGCTCCAAGAAGAAGAAGATATTCTCAAAAATTATAAGGTTCAGTGATGCCCACTTTCATCATTTCCATTATTTTCATTTATTAAATTAAACAACTTTCTCCTTTATTACCACTCTTTTTCATGACTGAAAGTCTCTCTAAAAGTTCTGAACACTGTTGTGAGTTTTCATTTTGATTAACAACAACAAAATACAAAAGAAAAATTATCCTACATATTGCTAACTGTAAAGCTTTAGATACTTTTATTATTATTTTTCCATTCATGGCTTCGTTGTACAATAAGTAAACTAGAGCCCACAGAGATGGGGAGACTTGTCTGCAGTTACATATTGTCCTATTGGCAAAGCAAGCCCAGAATTATAAGAACATCTTCTCAAGAGAGTTTAGCCTTTAGATTTGTAGATACCGTGTTCTCATCTTGGATATATAATTTTTTAGTCACTTAAATTTTTTTTTCTCTGAAAAGTTGCAATGATGATGCTTAGTATGGGGTATATGAGTTAATTCATACAAAGTGCCTGGTATATAGTAGCTGCCCAATAAATGTTGCTTTACCTCTCTCCATCCCAGGGCATAATATTGTCTTACGTGATATAGTCTTATTTTCAGAAAGACAGAAGCATAAATTTTCTCTGGAAATCAAATTAGATTTAGCGTATCAGACCATGTGTCTCCAAGTGCTGAGGACATTCCTGATTTATGCATGTCATCCCACCATTATTTTATTATTATAATTAGTTGGTTTATTTGTCTTGAGACAGGATTATCCTATGTAGCTTAGGCTGGCTTCCAACTTGCAATCCTTTTGCTTCTGCCTCCCCAGTACCAGAATTACAGGATTGCATCTGTTTGCCTGGAACCTTCATAATTAGTAATAGCATCCCATTTCACTTTCAGAAGTGCCTTTATTTAAATAAATCACAAGATCATCCTACTAGAACTTTCTCAACGCCTTCCTTAGAGCATCCTTCAGTTCCTTGTTCCTCATACTATAGATCAAAGGGTTTAAAATGGGTGTGATAAAAGTGTAGACCACAGACACCATTCGGCCCATCTCAGGAGAGTAGCTGGAACTGGGGGACAAATAAATAAAACTGGTGCAGCCATACTGCAGGAGGACCACTATGATGTGAGAAGAGCACGTAGAGAAGGCTCTATGGCGCCCTTCAGCAGACTGGATCCGTAAAATGGCTGTAATGATGAAGACATAGGAGATGGAGATCAGAGATAGGGGGATGCTTAGGACGATGAAGCTGATGATATACAGGGCAGTCCTGTGAACATGTGTGTCTGCACAAGCCAGGCGCATGACTGCAGGCATGTCACAGTAGAAGTGGTAGATCTCATTGTTATGGCAGAATGGGAGATGGAAGATTAAAATAGTTAGTGGCAGTGACAGCAGGAATCCCAGCACCAGGGACCCCACCATCATCTCCACACACAAGGACCAGCTCATGATGAGTGTGTATCTCAGAGGGTAGCAGATTGCGACAAACCGGTCGTAAGCCATGACTGCAAGCAGGACACAGTCAGCTCCACCCAAGAAGACAAAGAAAAACATCTGGGTGCCGCAACCAGGGATGGAAACAGGAGTTTTGCCCATAGAGAGAAGGTTTGCCAAGGCCAGTGGTGCGATGGATGATGTATAGAAGATTTCCAGAACTGCCAAGTTAGCTAGGAAAAAGTACATGGGGGTGTGGAGTGAGCGGTTCATATGGACAATCACAGCGATTGTGGCATTTCCACTGAGGCTAGTCAGGTACATCACTAAAAAGGCCACAAAAATCACCCTCTGCACCCCAGGGTCAGGTGAGAATGGACGAAAGAAGAATTGGATCCTGGCAGTTCTATTTGTTGTTTCCATGGAGGAGTGTGCAAGACCCACCTCAAAGTAAAATGACAGGAGTCTCAAGGTGTTTCTTACTGAATATGATGCCTTCCCAACACCTCCGTTCACTGTTAGAGTACCTTCCAAGGTACCTTAGCAGCAACATGCATAGTTCATTTCACAGAAGGTCATGGAACGTATGACCTGTTCATTTGCTATCTCCTTGTCTCTCTTTTCTTTCTCTCCAAGTGCCAAAGACTGAGAAATCCTCAGTGGTGGGAGCTTTGATGACATCTGAATGAAGTGTGTACCGCAGTTCCTGATGTAGAGGAGTTCTCCAAAGTATGTGCCGAACAAATCAATGAATAAGACCAATTAAAAGTTCAAAGCTGCAAAATGGAGAAACAGGTATTGATTCATTCTATGAAACTTGAAATAAAAAATGTTGGAACTGAATAGGCAAATGTGTTTCATAATTTAGAGAGAATTGTGCTGTTGGTATTTTATGATATTATATCATAAACTCTTGTGTTTCTTTTCTTTTCTTTTTTTTTTTTTGGTTTTTTTGAGACAGGGTTTCTCTGTGTAGCTTTGGAACCTGTCCTGGATCTCACTTTGTAGACCAGGCTGGATTCGAACTCACAAAGATTCACCTGGCTCTGGCTCCCGAGTGCTGGGATTAAAGGTGTGCGCCACCACGGCCCAGCAAAATGTGTATCCTGGGCTGGCCTCAAACTCCAGATCCACCTGCCTGTGCCTCCTTCAGCAAAACCTACCTGCCTGTGCCACCAGAACCGGCTCTTGTGTTTTTCAAAACCTAGAGTCTTTATTGTTTCATTTAGCTTTTGCTGCTGTTGTTGAAAAAGGGCCTCTGGTAGCCCAGGCTGGCCTCAAACTCACTGTAGAGCTGAACCTGATCTTGAACTTCTGTCCTTCTGCCTCCACTTCCTGAATGCTGGGATTACTGGTGTGGACCACCATGCCCAGTTTTATGGGGTGCTGGTGTTTTGTTCCTGCTAGGCAAGAACTCTACCAACAAAGTTGATTCCCCAGCCCTGAATCTACCTTGCTTTTCTTAACATGATGATCTGTAGTTCCATTAATTTTCCTGCAAATGTGACTGCCTCTTTAAATGCTTAAATGCCTACTTCCACATGCATCTGCCTTTTTTGGACCTCACTGTTCACGTTGACACTGAAATACTCATTTTTGTACCATGTAGTTTGCATTGGTTTGTTTATATGACTTTGGGAGGACCAAAACCATAAGATTTCAAGTAAAGGTTTTTGTTTTTGTTGTTTTTCCTTCCCCTTGTGGCTAAATAATTAGGAGTGTGAACTGTCTTGTTGCTGATTTTAGGTGCGTTGATTTAGAGCACGGATTGACTATCGCCTAGTGCAGGACACAATTCCCCAAAGTTTTCAAGTCAGGAATCTTCCCTTGGAACAGCTCCTCTCTTAATACTTTTAAACAAAACTATCTTTAAAGTCGCAGGCAATTTCTTCTGAGACAGATACAACTCAGAAAACTCCCAAGAGGCCTCTCCTTTTTAAAAAGATAGTTTATTATTATCTCTTGAGATTACTCACCAGCATGAACCAAGAGCAACAGCTTACAAGTTCTTTGCCCATCGCTTTACCCCTGTACCAGTTGGCTAGTGGCCTTTGAAACTCACTGATGCCTGTAGAGTGAGAATTCTGTAGTTTACCTAGTCTATCTCTTTGAGGAAGAGAGTGATTTGTCCAAGATTGATAATGGATCAGTTTAAAAATTAGTCATTTAAATACACAAGATGCTAGAGGGGACTCAAAGATGATAGAGATGCCATCTCCTCTATGGGATTGATGGGACAACACCATTTACCAAGATTTTTGTACAATCCCACCTTGTCAGTTTCTGTCAGTTTTGATTTGTAGACAACATTTAATTGCAGGGAGAAAAGGGTATATTGAAAGAAACTTTGTTTACTAAAAACCTCAAAAGAAAATCTCAGTGGCTGTAGGTCAATAAAACTGCCTTCTTGATAATGTAATTCCAGTTGTATGTGTGTGTGTGTGATACATATGTATGCTCCTATATATTATATAAACTTGGGAGTGACGTTTCCAGGGAAGATGGCAGAAAGTAGGCTATGACAGAATTACATGGGGTGTGTTAGAATTCCATCTTTCTCACTTAACTAGTTTTGTAATCTTGTAAATTAGTTTACCTTATCTCCTCGGACTAGCATCTCACTACTTCACTATAAGGTTATTGTTAGGTGCAAATGAAACAGCATCTATGAGAAAAATAATCTAAAATGCCTAGCATCTATGAAATGTTCAGTAAAGTGGGCAGATTCATTGATTCATTCCTTCGTTGTCTGTCCTGGCGATGAAAATAATTTCTGAGTGGATAGAATATGTGGCAACCTACCTCATATTTTCTGGAAGAGATTCTGTGGCTCACTTGGTTCCATTTCTAGTTTCCTACATCACCTTTTACTGTTAAAAAGATACTAGCTTATGTACAAGTGTGTGTGTGTGTGTGTGTGTGTGTGTGTGTGTGTGTGTGTGTGTGTGTGTGTGTGTGTGTTGTTGTTGTTGTTGTGCTGTATGGGCATGTATGTGCACTCTGCCTTATTCCCACAAGACAGAGTCTCTCACTGAACCCGGAGCCCACTATTTGAACTATGCTAAAAGTCATTAAGTCCCAGTGATCTTGTCTCTGCCCCACCACAGTGTGGTCACGACCAGCTTTTCACGTGGATGCTAAAGATTCTAACTCAGATCCTCATGCCATTTCCCTATCCCCATCTTAAAATATTTTGACTTTAAGTCCATCTGCATTGCAGGACTGACCTAAGTTTAGATATTGGCATCAATTTGGACTTACCCAAGGAGGGGAATAAAATATTAGTTTGGGGATTCTGATTGTGAGATAAGCAGAGCTGGAGGAACAGCATCATAACCATCATAGCCAGGGCAAAAGCTCTGCCTGCAATACAGCATGTGGTAGCTTCTGGAGACACACTGGCTGCAGCTGTCGGAAGAGCTGCTGATGTCTAGTTAATAGCAAGAGAGGACAGGAGGTTGGCAAAGTGGAGATAAAACAAAATTGGACCCCTCTGCTATTCACTAGCCCGTTTAATTATTCTTTTGTTTTACATGATCTTGTTGGAAAAGGATCAAGACAATTTTGTATCAGTGAAAATCCCTTTATCTCTCTGGCCTCAGTTTTTGTTAAACAAAAGCACTGGATCTTCCCAAACAATGACAGCAGCAGCAGCAGCAGCAGCAGCAGCAGCAGCAGCAGCAGCAGCACTGCAGGTTTCAATGTTAGATGCATCCAAACAAAAACTATTGTATTCCTATGCGAAATTATCTTTTGAGACAAAGTCTACCTATGATGCCTTGACTTGCCAGAAACTATAGAGTAGGCTGAAGTGCTAGGGTTAAAGTCGTGTGCCACCACTGCCAGGTTTCAGCTGTGACATTCTTGAATAAAAGTTATGTAAGATTTGCTGTTTTTTTTTTTTTCATTTTTTTTTTGTCAGTAGCATCTAGAAAGGAAGGAGAGCCAAAGCTGGACCCTTTTATTGATAGCATACTCCTGAAGTTCAACAATGGCAGTATCCAGGCAGGCAATTTAATGTGGTTGACACGATATGTCTGCAAGTGAACCATGAAGGTATCACATAAAACTTGTGATTTTATTGTTCATGTATGTTTAATTTTAAAAATTATTATTATTACTTTATGTGTATAGGTGTTTTGTCTACATGTATGAATGTGGTCCATGTGAATGCCCACGTGAGGGCAAAAGAGGAAGTCAGATCCCCTGGAACTGGAGTTATAGATGTGAGCCACCATGTTGGTGCTGGGAACTGAACCGGGTTCCTCTGGAAAAGTACCCAATGCTCTTAATTGCTGAATGATCTCTTCAGCCCCTCATATTTTCTGAATGAAGAAAATGAGGTTTAAAAGTTTAACTAGCTTGCCCAATTGGTAAGTGACAGGTCAGGAGTTAATGCTGAGATCAACCTGGAATTAAGTCTGTCATAAATGATAGCTCATTAAACAATGCACTAGATGCAGAGTAAGTGACAGCTGTCCTGGAGAGGAGAAGTCCTTTAATTCTATATTTTGATTTTTTAAACTAATAAACTATACCACTGTAAAGTGGTACACCCAGCATCCCATCACAAAATTATGTTGATTTTCAGGCTCAATGGTTGAGTATGTGTGGCACCCATATGACAGCTCACAATCATTACTAACTTCAGTGTCCTAGAGAACTGAATGCCCTTTACTGGCCTTCATGGGCACCAGACATGCACACGATGTATATAAATATATGCAGATAAAACACCTACACACATAAAACAATAAAAATAAATTTTAAAAAATCATGCTGATTTTGAACTTCTATTTCCTTTCCAATCTTCTTACTCTTTCATTACCTACTTACTTAATATTTATTTTCTTGAATAATTTTGACAAATGTGTGTGTGTGTGTATGTACATATATTATATACATTTTGGGGAGAGAGTGATGTTTCCAGGGAAATTCGCACATCCCCCTCCATACACACAGAGGGGAGGTGAGAGGAGGAGATGGAAGGAGGGAGGGAAGGGGGGTTGCGGGACAGGGTCCGACTGTGTATTTCTATCTGGCCTGGAAGTTGCTACATAGACCAGGCTGGCCACAAACTCACAGAGTTCAGTCTGCCTCTGCCTCCCGAGTGCTAGAATTAAAGATGTACATCACAACACTTAGCTTTATTTTAACAAATATTATTGAGACTTTATCTTTTCTTTCCTTTTTTTTTGGAGACTTTATCTTATACAAGGTCTAGCTCTAGTTTCTGGAGAAAGAAGAGTTGAAAATGAGAGCGCTCAACACTGAATACAAAAGACAGTGAAAAGCACACAGGCAAATCCAGCTCAGGCCTGCTCTAGGACGATGTGCTACGGTTGCCAGGCATTTTCCTCTCTTTGCAGCAATGCCTTTGAACAAGATGTGTCCCATCACAGTTTTTATTTTTAATGCAAAAGGAGGATCCAAAAACATTTGATTATTTCTTTTTTAATACTGGTATTTTCTATTTTCTACTGCCGTGAAATTAAAACTGTGGATATTTTCAAAAAGCAGAGAACTCCTTGAACATATTCATATCTCTGTTTTAGGGCTGATTTAGTGTTGAGTGTATATTCTCCGACTTAGGATGTGTGACCTCTTACTCTTTGGAACAGATGTTTCTCCCTGCCTGGCATCAGTTTGACAAGCACGGCTTCACAATGCTTGAATTCCTGAAAAGCTCCCAAGTATCAAATGCTGCTTCTGAGGAGGGACTACACAGTGGCTTTCTTTGCAAAGCTCCACACTCAGCCTCTCTCTGGCCAATGGCTGCTCAAGCCTTGGCCTGA